TCCCTACATAGCATCCTATAGCACACGAGGACCAGAAAAAACACAAGCAATGGTAGATGAAGCCACAAATTTACCCATTGGGAAGGCGAAGATACAGAATAGTGACAATCTTTGTTATTTAGCCCAAACCAATGCCCAGAACGTATCCAAAGCTTTCAAGAAACGTTTGATCATCGACCATTAATATAAGTAGATTTTCCTGCATTTCTAGCCTAGCGGTCGATCACCAACTCGAGAAACAGGACTTCGGATTTACGGAGGAAATTGATAAGGAGACAATCCTCAACACATTCACAGTGGAACTGTTTCACGTGTCTCTCTGTTTATGGGGTTATGCTCTGGACATTCAAATGTATTTTGAACACAAAAATCATTTGCATCTTTCCCTTGTTTGATTTTGACATTGGGGTCTGATGGGTCGCTTCTCCCAATAGGTCTAAATAAAGAATTGACAATTCTATGCCTGCCAAAACATTGAACTTTCTTGATTCAGGTTGGCTCTATTTCTGATATCAGCTACAGTTATCCCTTATAATACCAGGAGGCAATACTTTCGATTATTCTGTGATTGTGTCGATGCAAAACGGAAATCAATTCTACCTTGAATTCATCTGTTGCAGTTGGCAAGATGCTATCCGCGATAACTAGAAAGCAGCAACAAAATCGAAAATGAAACAACCGTTAAATGGGCAGCCAAAGCAAGTGTATATGCGTGTAAATTACAGTAGTTTGAAGAATCGACAGTTGGATGTTAAAATCGATGGAAGTCTGATGGTGAGGAGCCGGGCTTCTCAAGTTTGGATGAGGCAATGGAATGTCCATGCCTGGAAGCTCGTATGCGTCTGTCTAAACAATGTGATTTGACATGATTAGCCAGAATGCATTAAATGAAGTCCTGAACGAAAAGAAGTTGGTTATTAACCCAAATAAGTATCTATGTACCCGTTTTCTCTTTTTTTGACTATAATGTATATCTACCCTTAGTAGAGTTTTCTTAAACAGTTTGATTTCAATTGCTTCATTCTAAGTTAACGTTTTGTGGTCTTCTTGCCACTGACAAGTTCTGAAAGCTTTAAAATTTAAAGTTATAATTGCAGTCGACTAACTTGCCTACAGCCCAAATATTTCCTATTAGGACCACTCCTCATGATTATCTACATTCAGCGAGGGAGCCCTTAACGATGCTCAGTTTTTTCAGGAAGCGCCGAAACACGAGAGCAGGTCGTGTGAGACCCGACACAGCACTTATCGCTGCAAAATTCCTATTTTAAATCCCCCTTGTCGTACATTTGCAACCTTTTGGTCAGTTAGTCATCTTCCTCGAACACGGGTCAGTTAAAATGCCTCTGAGTTGGCTTTCTCCCGTTCAGGACGATGGGACGAAAGGATAACGACCCCCTAGACTGATTTGAATTTTAGTCATTTGAGCACGTTAGGAAGTTAAACAAATAAAACCTGAGAATTTTACTTGAAAAGGGATTGTTATATATTCAGACATTAGTAAATCACGAATGCCATGGTTGCTTGCACCCATCACCATCATTTCTCTTAAATTTCATGAACGTCGAAGCGAAGAAATGTGACGTTTCTTAACAGTTGCACTTGGAATTCCATCATGTGCAAGTCCTAAGGAACAAAAGATCAGACGCCTTCTCTATAACGCTCTTTCAGTAGTCGAGTTCAGAGCGTCATGGTAGTGCCGATTCCATAGAAAACGCAACTATAGAACTAGAAGTTGATGACTCCAAACACCACGATAATGTCTACGTAGGTTTTCGAATCAGAGTTAATAGTTAAATTATGTGGCTTAAAGGCGCTCAACTAAATCGTTGGAACTAAAGTTTGTCTGGAGCTTCTAACAACAGTTATCCAACGCACTGCATGGTTTATTTTGTCTCATCGTTTTGTACAAGCAAACACGGTTACCCAGAAATTAATGTGTGAGAACTAGGTTACTCAATTCACAAATGTACCTCGTCACACAGAAAATGGCATACCTAAGATCGGTAATCTATCCACACTTAGATCGGAAGTGTAGTTTCTCTGCTATCGCGTACTAATTATTTGCTTGAGCCTCTAGCCCAAACTTCTTATTTACCTGTCACTAGAAATGGGAAAATTATCCACTCCTACTTAAAAATTTCGATAAAACCATTTGACTGCCCACATTTCGACACAAAATACCTGGCCTTTCTGGCTGGTTTTAGTCTAGCATTGGTAAAGTCGCAATTTGATTTGTAATTTAAAGAAATTGAGACAGCCCAGCACAATTTCCTCCATGGATATCAGCGTTCCAGCGTTTAGTTATTTCAAATCAACAACTCCGTTATTGTATGCGGCTTAAGGCACTAGCAGGAAACTTCCTGAACAGTTTATTCATCCTATTTGAAGTTTTCAGGTAGTTTTGGTTAAGTGCTTATAACTCAAAGCCTAATAACGCGTTTTGGTGCCTTTTAACACAACCCTAGTCGAGTTTTAACTCGTCGGTTTTAGTGCTCGGAGTACTGAGGGCCAGAGTGTTGACAGTGTCGACCGCTTCAATTCGCTGCATCTCATGGCAATTTCAGAAGTTCGTATTTGAAATTTGGGTGGTGGCCGGCGTGTGCACCCCCAAGACCCAATTGTAAACAGTGCGTATGCCAAAAGTGGTACCTAACTTATCTCAAATACGTTGAGGCTTTCCTTGGAAATGACATGACCTTATATGGTAAATATGCTAATGCACTGCCATGTTTTGATTTTGCGATGATTATTGCGCTTGTTACTATTTCAGTTACTTTCATCAAGAGCTTGGACGCAGCCCTTTTAACTCAGTAAGTGAATATCACAAGTTGTAGAAGTCGAAATAGATTACACAATCTAGACTTAGGGAAAAAAATCAGGAAAATGTAATGCCATCACAGGACACGCTACGAGCACATGATTGCGTGGCGAACAGTAAGTGCTGTCTTATAGGGCTAGAATTTTACAGCTAAATATTGCCAACCAAATGTATTAGGGAATGTTTATAAAGCGCATTTAGTGAGGTTATGATTCGGATAGAATTGTGTTTTCTTGTGGTTTAAATAAATCCATGAGGGCCAATGCGTGCGTGACTGACTTTGGGTTTAACGACTTTGACACCCAACGACTTTAATCGGTAGTTACAGAATCACGCACTGATTGAGCGACTGTTGTAAAGGCCAGGTTGAATAATTTTCCAAAACTTGAATAAAATCATATGGGTAGATCTCGTGATTGGCAAAAATTGGCCAGTATAACCAAGTAACAGCAACTAATGAAAGTTGCAAAAAAGCAACTTGTAAGTGCGAAAGAGTTCACAGCTTGGGATAAGAAAAGGGGGAGTTCTTGATTGAAGTCCCAAGAACCACAGTAAAGAAGTGCGTGCAAATCATTGCTTTCCAAAAGGGAAACGATGACGATGTACTTAGACGTCGAGGCTACCTACACCATTCGTATTTTTGACGTTTTAGGTTCTGTATAACGCGTGAATCCCAAAACCCCTTTTATGGTCACCAGCTATCCTTATATTTCACTACAAACTGCGTTAAGCTTTTTTATACCCCTTCCACGCAGGAATCAAATGTCTTTCTAGATGATGATAGTGACTTTGTTAGGGATTTAATCTGTAAAATTCAATCACTTTTCGAAGTTGGAGCGAATTGTTAAAAATCAGTCCCTAAACACCCCGTGGAAATTGGAAAAAAGTGACATCGTATTTAGTTGGATTCCGTCCATCAACATTTCCTGGTATTTCTTGTCAAGTCAACAAAAATCATAGCACCAGTTAATATTTTTGTTAATGACTCATGGTATACAACTGTCCCGGGTTATTTTAGAGCCGACCCTACCCATTTCTTAGTCTTGTCAACTCAGATAAATGTACGCATGCTCCCTAGCATTTGTTCAGGCAAATCTACCTGCACTGACTAAGCAATCAGTAAGCCTTATGCAAACGTTAGGAGGCCTCCTACGGCTTCCCGAACTCACTTCTTTCAACTTTTTGATCAAACTAAGTCCAATTGTGATGTTTTTGTTTGCAAAACCAAAAAAACGTCTCGTAAAAAGGCACTGGCTGTACCACGTAAAAGGTCGGTTTTCTTGACCACGGGATAGTTTAATGGACAAATCACTGTTAAAAAAGGCAGCTCGTCGCATGTCCCTCAGTGTGTCCAACCTGATTGCGCAATTGTTTGATACCAGTTCGGCTTTACACCAGCGCCGCACCAATGACATCGCGGTTACGATTCAGCACGTATTAGTCATTAAAACTGTCAAGAGAGAACCAGTCAATGTAGATCAACAAAACTGAGCAGCGGCAACGCGTTAACAGGTTGCTTACTCATATTTAACGGTATTTATTGTCTACTGTCCAAGTTGTCTCGACAATAATGCATCAAAGCAGGTAGGTTCTTTCCATGGATATAATCATTTACCTAATTGTGACATGCGAATGTGGCCAAAAGCATGTTTTATTTCACTACAAGCACGCAAGCAAGTTATGTACTGGATATTGGGTTTTAAGCACATTGTCTTTGAAAAGAAAACAAGTGTTTTATGTTCTAACACACAATAGACACCAAATAATCAGGCAGCTTTCACACAAACAAGAATCCGAGCAGCTGAATAACTAGAAATTGGGGAAGAAATCTAAGTTGTTTAGTACCGAGCCAATGAGGCCTGATCTTTATCACTCCGGCTAATCACTAACTTAGTTATCTTTTTAATGGCTATAGTTCAGGCAAAATGGAAAAGAGGGATTGCGTCAGCAGTGATGCGAAAGTCCTTGGTAAAATTAGGCTTTTTTCGCTGTCCTTGATCAAGACACACCGAAATCTGAGTCTCCTGCCATTAAAATAGGTCTGAGGCGCACAAGAATCAATCATATTCACTGAACACTAATCTGACCTTCAAATAAGTCTAATCACTGAGTCTCACTGACTGAATTTTGCTTTAACTGCAGAAAGCAAAGAACACATTTCACTAAGACGATTGTAGCAATGCGACGTCGTTCTCGAAGTCCAGTTAGCAACGGATCAGAGGCTCCTGGTGGAAAAATTGCAAAGACAACCCGTGAGTCTACTTATTTTTTTTAAAAAAAATTGTTCAGTTCTCTCAATGCGCATCAACACGGACCGTTATTCCATCCGTAACATTATGCTTTAACCTCTGATAGGCAGGAATTTATTTTGGCTTATCACCTTGTGCCGAGCACAATTGTTCAGTAAATGTGTTCAATGTTATGATTTCGTGGTGTGAAAAAAATAAGGGGAAGGGCAAAAAATAGATGAACTTGACTCGCATGCTGGCCTTCGGCCAATGATAAGGTGTCCCAATGGAGAAACGGATATTAATGGGGCCTTATCTACACAAAGGTGATCAAATTATCATCACTGAATTCGTGCAATCACACTTTAAATATAATACTCTGGTTGAGTTCTACTTTGACTTTTAAACCATAGCAAGTCCCAGTTTAAGATATACTCCAAATTCAAATATACCTATAGACAGGTTTGGAAATTCTTGACATATGCCGACTATGTGAATTGTGTCAGCCAGTAATTTCGGCGTCCTAGGTTGAATTTTACTTACCTGTGCTTGTGGAGGTAAGCCCAACCTCAATTCGTTAGCTGCTATCCATCTCTTTTCAAATATTAGAGATTATTCTGTAAAGTTATATCTGTTGACCTTGTTTCCGAAAAACTGAAATCGATAAAGCCCCACCACTGTAGATATAACCTTAATAGAAGAAAAAAATGTCACAACTAGGATTTAAATAAGGCGTGAAATCATGTATGTGACAGCGGATTACATCTCAAGCCAAGGTGCGATTATAGCTCCTACAGTCATGCGTGCTCGGATTGGCTTACCCTGAACACTAATCTGACACTGACCCCGTATATAAAGGAGCGTGTTTTCAGGATCTCGATTAATCTCCGACGTGCACCTTCCGGGAATGCAAACTAACCCGAGTTGGTCATTCTCTGTTTTGATCAACTTCCAAGGCGCCTGTCAGTATGCATTCCCATTTTTCTCAATTTCAGACTCACCGGGGGGTTCAACGGAGAGAACAATTGACTCAACGGTACCCGTAGCCCCAGATTCCGGACTTCCCTCGTATTCTGCAGTTGAGTTAACCACAACTGAATCTCGCCAACGCCATCCGACCGTCAATAAAACCCCACAACCTAGTGTCCCTCGGCCCAAAAGACAAGACTGGTGTCGTTGGCCAATTTGCAAGGACTTTCTCAAGTACGGCATTTGCCCAAACGAAACTGGACCCGGAAAGGATGGGGCCAAGTGTCAATTCGCGCATATCAGAGCAGATGAGGCCGTATCGGCAACATCAGACGGATATGTTCGTGTCTGTTTCGATTCAATGGGACTATTACAGGTTGGAAAATTGATGTCTCGAATTCCTAGATGCAGTCCTATTTTATTCTTTTACCAATTTTCTATTCCAAATCTCTTAGACATAGCTATTTCGTTTAACCAAGTAGTGCCAAGCCTAAATGCAACAGTTCATGCCCATTCAAACGAGATTCTTGAATTTCTGTTCTGTACTTTTAGTCTTCCTGCCGAAGAGTAAGATGCTCATTCTACCACCCGCCCAACCATATCCGTGATCAAATAATTGCCAAGCGTCATGCACAGTACTTACAGGAGAAACACGTAAAGGGGATTTACAACCAGCTCGCGGCTTCGATACCGCTAACACCGACAGTAAATCATCTTACATGCTTCTCAGACCCCCTTTCAAATATGGCAATGACTCAGCCGCTGATGTGTAATAGTCTTTTGGGGCCAACAAGCCTTCTCCCTCCTTCCAAACCTCCAGTCTTGGGGTCAGATATCACCCCGGCCAAGCTGCCTACGATGAATATTGACACCTCTGGGTTGATCTACCAGCAGGTTTTACAGGTAATGCTTGTGCCTCCTATTGTCGGTGCAGCAGCATCGTTGATGCTCACGGTAATCTACATTGTTGCAGCCACCGCCGATGCTTCCTCCAATTAACTGGGCAGATATCTTGGCGAAAACAAACTCACCATACCTGCCACCGCGACCAGATACACTGGCGATTTACAATTGGCTGTTACTGTCTCAAATAAACCCTGGAATTCTGCCTGGTATGGTCACTCCTCAAACAGCGCTTGGGTTTCCGCCCTTCGGAACACCCAACTCAATGACCTTGGCAACGGACCTCGTTCCGCCTTCGAATGCTGTTTCGTATGCAGCGGGTCCGTCTATGTAAAACGTGACGTAATAGAGTGATTGGGACACGCGATGGTTGCTATCATTATGTTTTGTCATCCATTCGCTTAATTTACTCATCAGAATGAATATAAGTATTATTTTGTAATTTTTTATTTACGCTTTCGATTCTAAACGCAGGGCACATGCTTGCTTAGTATCGGTTCATAGTAAAGACACCAACAGTTTGAGTGATTGTTATAACTCCGTCATGAGGACCGTCAATAGGTCTAGTTAGAATTCGCTTGCTCAGGAGTTCAACGAACATTGAGGCATTGAAGGAGATTTCGGTTAAAATTATTTGTCAAGTGAAGTGATGTTCTTGCCTCATTTGATCCATGAATTGTAACTCATTCAGGTTTCTTTGTTTGGTTATGAGATATGCCTATCTACTTTGCCTAGCTATTGTCCAAAAGTACAATCACAATGAACTTGTGATACTGATTTCATCACTCTTAAACATGTCTGGGAGTATGTCTCTAAAAAACGGGAACTCTCTAGGATTTAATAGGTCTAGGTGGCTTTAAATTAATAGTGAATGACACTTTTTCATAGTTGCCCCTTTCGCGGTTAGGCTTCATGGGACGTCCAACGTTTGATAGAATTCCAGGTGGTACAGTCAGTTACCAAAATAACTATGTGGTGGCTTGTAAAGGTGACCTAACTGTAAAAGGTTATCCGAAGAGGCTAACCAGATGACAAGGAGTAGTCTTTCATTGGCCTCCACAATTGAAAATTCCTAGCTTTTCTCAAGATGCTCCACACGAGCGCCAATGCATGATAACCAGATAACCAAACATTTTGTCTTACTTTCTCATTCTAGGCGATCTATTACAGAACCAGCTAGCAAGTTTCCACTTTGCTTCAGCAGTTAATTCATATGAGTTTGAAAGAATACCTGAAATCAGACGTGGAAGGTATTAGGGCTAGTCGAATTTGCCACTTTTAGAGGCAGAATTAGGGGAAGATTTAGAGGACTGAAGATGCCACCGTTTTTTAGATGGCTTAATCCTGCGTTTGTCATGTCGTGGTGCGTTCTAGGTCATGTGCGTTTGTGAATTGCATACCTGTACGAGAGGGAAGCGATTTATGAAGGCATTCAGCCTATGGAATCCAGATGGACTAGTAGCCGTGGTGGCATCTTAACGATGTGGTGTTCGGTCAGTGACAGGGGAAGTATGTATGGAGGGGGTGTCCGCGTGAGAAAAGGGGTCTGCTAAATAGAAGGGTGTGGGCTGCCTGAGCACGTGGCGACAGAGCTCATAGATGTGAATAACCAAGCCTCACTGTAAAGTCGACCAAAAATCGACCTCATTTGGTGTTACTGCTCTTGTGGATAAAGATTACCTAAGATCTGATTATATATGCTTCCAAAACTGATATACGCTCAGCAGCTTTCTTTTCCTTCATCGTGTTCAAATTCTGCTTTACACAAACTCAAAAAACCAAGAACATTACTTGCTTCGTAGTTTGCGTGAAGTATGATTCCCAAAGTTTACTAACAACCGCAAAACAGCAGTCAGTATGTGTTCCATATCATTCTCATTGAGGCTTTACCTCATGAAAATAGTCCCTTCTGCATTGATTTTATTTCGATGCCGTGCTACTGAATGCGTCAGTGGTCCCAACAATTTGTTAAGACGGCGTTTGCTTCATTGGGTCACACGCTACACCCATTGTCACTGTCACAAACATATCCAAACTCGAAGCATACCTTGATGTACACATCTCTTTAGTTAATTATCTGTTAGTTTTTAGTTCGTAATGTTTAACGTCTCAAAGCTTAATTCATATCAGTAAGTACACAAGCACTATCTAGTCTCACTAAGTCCATCTGATTTTGTTTACATGTAAGTCCATCGAATGTACTTTTTTAATCAGGTTGCACTATTCTATTCTGATCTTGCCACAATTTCTAAGTAATTTGTAGTTTCATCTTTGCTAAAACAAATACATCAACCGCGATGTTGACTATTAACTATTAACAGGACTCGAAAAATGACATTGGTTATAATGAAATTGAACCCAGCCACAGTTTTGTTAGCAAATTTACTTGATCTGAATTGTTGCTTGCGATCGGGATCTTGAAAACTTAAAAGTGATTTCACGGTGCTCCTGTTGAAAATCGATAAAACATCGGTCAGGTATTTCACATTAGCTGCGGAGGTCAGTAAAACGTAGTTCCCCTCCAATGTTTCATCAGTGTGCGGTAGAAAACTCAGTTTGTCAATTTCGGAACCCTAAGTACTCTTCACTAATTTACCAACTAAATTTACAAATTATCAAAAGAGATCATATGTACAATTTCAAGTAGCCCTATGTCAGCTGTTCGATTATTGAGTGACCTTTGCTCGTGATGCTGCAACTTATATCAGCAGCACATGACGATCCCGGAGTTCGTGTCCCTCTGACGGGGTCATTTGCTCAGAAATTCAACTGTCAGCGCGAACTAATCCCAGTTGCCCAATTCGCCATCTCGATGGCTTATTTCGTCTTGAAACGTCTCTGCGATATGGCTAATCTTGTTTGCTCTTACCTCGGAATCACACCCAGAACAGAGGCAAATGAGGAGGTCAGCCTACCTTCACAAGCCTGTCCTGTTGACTCCAATGAAACCGAAGACGTAAGCCCTAACTTTTGTCCTAAATGTTCTCAAGTGCATTTTTTGACATCAGCATTGTGCATTGTACTAGGGAATGTGAACTAAATTAAGAGATGTTTTGAAATGCAACTCAAAGTTACGAATCGCAAAATCTAGAAGTTCCTGGGATCTCTGCAGAAATTTCATTTTTAGTAGCCGTAAGGTTGCTATGGAAAGCTATCGCTTGGGGGCTGCTTAAATCATCATTAACAAGCAGATAAAGTATGGAAGTCTATTCACCAGCTAGATGGGACTGTGATTAACTGTGTCAGTATATGCGGATGTACATGGTGAATGTATAATCACTGAAGATGTAGGGATGACGGAGCAAGTGAATGGATTTCAGAAACATTTAGACGATCTAGGATATACCTTAGCATTAATTTCAAGAATGGACATCAGCGGTAAATTCTTAACGCAGTAAATAAAAGTAGACTTTTAATTTTTCTCGGTGACAAACTTTGTGAAGTCACTTTTATTGCTGGAGAATAATTCTCCTCTGTTTTACTCGTATTTCAAAATCTTGATCCCGTCACGTGCCTGTATTTCCCAATTGTGGTTTTCTAAGTAGTTCTATGAATCCTGCCGGTTTAAAAAGAGTTTTAAAATCTGCTCAATACTTTATTCATGGTTAAAGTATTGAATGAAAGGAAAATATTTAAATGGACACAGGGATTCCTGCTAAATTAGTTTTTCGGGACAAGAAAGTGTAAAGTTTGTGGAAAGGTGTGCTGATGCTTCCACATATCGCCCAAAACGGGTGTTCATGACTCCATTTAAAGAGTTCAAACATATCGTTTTGGATAGATGCACGAAATTTGCGACAATCGAATTCTAAGTTCGAGTCCAAAGTTCCAATACCCGTGTGGATCGCTGATATGAGGCAAGCACACATAAAATTATTTGACGCGTAGCTGAATGCCACTTTTGTACTGGATTTCAAAGAAAAGCAATCTGTTTGCTCTTTAACGCAGACTTGCTTGAGCCGACCAGCCGAAACACATCGACACCACAACCATCAGGATGGAATGCTCGATAAGTCCAGTGGGCCTTCAACCGGACAAACAGGGCAATGTCCGTCCAAACAGGGAGGAACTGATCCAGGTTAGTTGGACGAATTGATAACAATGACCTTGATATAGACAAGCATATTTTCGTCCGCATGCGCATGTAGAAACTGACATTTACATTGTGGTGTGTGACTGTATTTCACTGCCTCGATCAAATCATGTTAGTTGGACACTATTTAAATTGACGCCCTTTTCCGGTCCGATTTTCTTTCGCTTTAAATGCAATTTGCTTAACATCCTCGTATATAATAAATCAGCCGAGATTAAATGCAAAATGGAATGAGTTCTGGAAGCTTGGGATTACTTAGTGAAAAGAGTGGAGTCCCTGGTTGTAATTAAGATGGTTAAACGCGTGACTAACTTTCCTACATTCAAGTAACGAGGCCCTTTTGAATCTTCTTAGCAATTTTTCAACTAATATAAGCCAGGACTCAAAATGTTCCAACCATTGATTCCAGACCAATCAATTAACAGGATTTTCTTCTGAATTCCTCCCTAACCATAAACTGTAGAGTCGATATTCCAGCACACAAGAACTTTTATGCCACGTAATATAGCCAGACATCTACCAATTACATTCATCATCCAGTAAATCAGTTTCATTATTCCAAAAGCAGATGTGGGAGATATTAGGAAGGATGTTACCGGAGAATCCCTTGATGCTCGATTTCTAAGGCCCGTGCAACAGACCACATCGCAAACAGACCGCGACCCAGAACTGGACGACGGTGGATGTCAAGCCTCCAACCTCGTCGATCGTTCCGTCCAAACCGACAGTCATACGAGGCAGGAAGAAGAAGATGTGGACACTTTAGCGTCCTTGCCCAAAGACTGGTGTCGATGGCCCGTTTGCGCAGTTCACCGTTTGGGCGGACAGTGTCCCTTAGGCGAGGCGAACTGTCCCGATGCCCATGTAGGCTGGGAGTTTGCCAGCCAGATCGATGCCCACGGCCTCGTGCGGATTTGCTTTGAGTCACTTGGAGTGGCAAACGTACGTCTTTGTATCCTTTTGTTACGATTAAGATAGCAAATGGTGATGTGATAGGACATGCCCAAACTACACTCATTTCAATACTTTAATTTCGCAAAATGTTCCATAAGCAGGTCTTCTGCAACCGTCTATTCGGTTCCAGCAGCCCGAAATGATCAATTTCCTGAATACTTGACAACAAACACGGTAATTCTCTATATATGACACTTGGGTTTGCTATTTATTGCTTTTTATTGACTGTCCACTAGCATTTTCCAAGTTGTGCGTCAAAGATCTATCTGCCATTTGACATCGGTTTTGAATCAAACACAGGAATTTCTTTGATGGTGACCCTCACCTTTAACCAATCAATGACGACTTTGCTTAAGCCAAATAACAAATAGCTGTTGAGGGCCCCGGCACTTTGTCTCGAACCACACCGGGGTCACTGCAACAATCTAGGTCGACTACGTTACCCTGTGTTCCCGCGAAGATAAAGAATACAGGGGCGGAGAAGGCACAACCGTTTACCAGACAGCTCAACCAAGTTGTGTTGCGTTGACCGGTACAATTGAGTGGACTAGTAGAAGCACAAGCATTTGAATGATCACGTGGATAAGGCGAATGGTGGTGGTGGTTCACACGGCGGTGTTAATTCGCAGGCAGTCCCAGTGACTGGCGGGCGCGCCGTGAAGAGGCGGACGTGTGTGTGAGGCTGCGACGACCGGGGTGTTTGACGTGAATCAACACGATTCACTACACAATCGATAATGCCTTCAAATCTCTGTTCTAAGTCGATTAAAATCTTTCAGAGCATGGTTGAGTTCTGGCTACCATAGCTGCGCAAAACGCTTAATTACAACCTGAAAGATGTTTGTTCAAATTCTGTGAATGTCAAACAAAGAAGTTATTGGGTTGCAGGTTTCCGGTGTGCTAAATCTGCCAACTGTTCTGTCTACAATCGTCGGGTCACTTAATCAGAAGTTTCATTGGCTCGTTAAATGCTACATGCAATATTTTGAACAGTTGTTATGAGAATCGTGTCCTAACAATGCGAAAATCTGACAAATTTAATTGTTCAAGCGCTACGCTTAACCACAGAATCACTTTTAATGAAAGGCAGTTTTGTACGAATCCGCATAAAATCGACAGCTTTTCGTGAGCCTTCTTAAACGGCATTAAACGTTCTCACTAACCAAATAGTTGTCTCTGTCACCAATAATTGTACTCACATCGGAATGTTGCCAGCCAAATCAGTTGAAAACAGGTTTTTTGCAGACAGAATTGGCCAATGGTAAAAAGAGACAATAAATCGACTCTCCAACTCACCCCCTCTTGTGTTTATTTCAATGTGAGAGAAAATTGACGGTCTCTTCGCGATTTCTCGCAACTCTGATGATTCCTCTGCTCTCGCAGAAGTTCTGTGCCCGTCCACAAGGATGCTGCCGTTTCTTTCACCCACCAGAACACATCCGTATGGGTCTCATTCGACGACGACAAGCAGCGATTGCTGCAAGCATTCTCAAACGCCGTGAGCCGACGCCTAACTGTCCCAGCGGCAGTGTCGAAGAACCAATTAACATGGACCAGCCATGGCCCTGCACCACTACCTCTTGTGAACAATGCGCAAAGGGCGCGGATCACCAGAACCCCGCGAAATCCTTCAGGCCTCTCCCGTGGCTCATTAACTACGGGGAGCTCCTGCAAGAGTGTGCATCGGCTGTGAGCCAACCACCGGACGAAAACTCGGAGAAATCCACTGTGGTGTTTAATCAAAAGCTGGCACTTTACCTCGCTCTCGCGGAAGCTCTGCGCGAACGGCTTATTATTGCGGTCAGAGAAGCGAGTAGCCGATAAGTGCATGCAGGTTCAGCACCCAAAGCACACAACATTATCCGTTCATAAACCTCACGCACATTTCTCACTTTAATGTTTTTTCCCTGAGTTTCATTAAGTAGATTATTTTATTTGGCTAACTTCCCGGTTCTTCTCCCAGGTTCGGCTTAAACACGCATAGTTTGGTATCTACCTCGGTCGTTCATTTATGATAGGCGTATTGGGGTTTCCGTGGATCAAACCACATTTTGAACTTAAAAGTCAGTTACGAACTTGTTTCGTAAAATATCGAGCCCACACCGACCTAGGTTGAGAGAGTTTGTGAAACTGGATCCCAAAGGACACATCATCCAATTTTCATTTGGAATTCTGAGAAGCTTTTCACGGCAGGATATCAGCATGGTTATAATGAAATCGATGCCTGACGGAGGTCACAGCTTACACAAAGTCTGGCTACACACCCACTTAACATCACTGAATTCCAAACGCGTGGAGGATGGAACCATTTTTGCAAATAGGACCACAAAACAACGACAGTCATCCTAACTCTAGACAAGTCAGCAGTCATTCTTTTGTAAACATCTCTAGACAGCCACTTAATCCGCTTATTCACAGGCTAATCGAAGGCGCTATTACAGCGACTCGCGTGTCTTAAAATGTTGAAGGTAAGAACCAATGAAACATAAGTGGCAGACACTTTCCAAAACTTTAAACTGACAAGTCCTCTCTCACGAGCTAATCAATATTTTTTACTGAAACTACATATTTTTTAACAGCATGATACAACTTTAAGAGAAGGTAGCCTGAGACTCCAGATTCGGATGCCAAAATCGGAATCTCCAAACTAAACGCCATATTTATCGTGTAGTTAAAAGCTAACGGAAGATTTTCAGCCAAACAAAAATGACACGATAGTAGAGAATTATGATTCACGATGTCACCGACACAAGTCTAGAGGCTCCGGCAAGCTAACTGCCAGCGAGCATCTCATTGGTTGAGCTCAGAGCCGCACGATCGATTATACACGTATGTGAGTGCGCACGTGGCGCCTGTGTCCACGCGCGTCAAGCACACACTATCAAAGCTGACACCTCTTCCCCCACGCCTAGGTAACACCATCACAGCGCGTCCGACTGCGAGGCTCAACCCGTGAGATGTGAGATACATTTTGGCCAGGTAAATGATAACTTGTTTCGTGTGGCATCTGATTCTGGAAAAATAGTCACGCTGGTTCAATTAGTAGCAAATTGTGTGGTTGAAACAATCATTAGCAAAGACGGAATGAAAATTCATAAAACCTGCATTTAATGCACTTGAAGGCTCATAATAAATATTTCGACTACCACAACAGAGCGTTAAGGTTTGTTGAGGCTATGCAACTGCAAAATTAAAGCAGATGAGCAGTTGGATATAACACGGCGTCCAACTATTAACTCCGACCCTCCGCTTCCATATCCACGTTCCAATTTTTTATTGACGAAATGGTGGAAGAAATAAACGTGGAAATGGTATTTATTCACTCGGGGTCCACGTACTGCATGATTTTGATTGGTTCCCCTCGTCTTGCAGTCAAAGTCACCTGTACTCTCAAACTCGACACCAGTAGACAACCTCTCTGGGCATACGAGACTCGAATTCTTGTTTAAATGAGGACCTTGAATCCGGCCACCAATGACAACTGTTCACCGTAACTTGTCAATTGTCCCTAAACCCGACCACCTACTAAAAACTACAACAGTAGGCAACATCCTCATATTTATTTTGCCTGCCCTTTAAAGCGCACCTAGACACGTTAAGATCAACTCCGACAGTGCAGCAATGAACACACGACGAACTGGGCTGTAACGCCATTGGTAGTACCAAATGTGCTACACATACTACACGACGACGTGACCCACCTCGAGAAGTTTCGACACCAACAATCCACGAACCCCACATGCAGTTCTTCATACCTGCAAGTCAGTGTTATCAATAACCTTGAAGAATAAGCTAGAATAAGCTTTCACCAAACTGAAACCGAAAGCATCCAGAGGTGCCTTGTTGGCGATACGCCGTCGCTGCATTCGGCCGACGGAAAATGAAGACACACTTGTCAATCCAGAGCTGTGATTACTAACGTCGCACAGTTGCAAATTCACTGCCAACAAAACGAAATCACACGTGATTGCCTCAACGCGTTGTCGAATTTGACAGTTTCAGGAGGTGCAGTGATACGCAGAAGACATTCACCAGCACATGTGCTGTAGGTGAAAAGGGACTAAATGTTGCTGTCTAGAGAAAACGTCTTTGTTCAATACCGCTTCATTGTGGCAGTTGACGTTCTTCGACTTCTACACTAGGAAGATGCCTTGGCGCACTCCCAGAACGCAAATCAAGCACCACAGGATCTTGACTCAAACTGTTGATTTCTCTACTATTCTTGTCAAGTGCCTCCCAATGTGCATCCTCGTAGATTCCCCTCTATTCATAGGCTAAACTTGCTGATATAATATGGTGAGCTATGAATGTCAGTGAATAACAATTTCTTATCAGTTGGAATCGCACTATCAGCATCGGCACTCCAATCTTGGCACTTTTGAAGGGAGTTGAGGCTGTACCAGAATCAATAAGTTCGACCTTAGCGTGTGTGTATCGTACAGGGATTCTCATCCCGAAATACCGCAATGGACCTGTTGATAGATAGAAAGGCGAAGCAAATATTAAGCAACGACCTGTCCGCCTGAGTACGCAACCAAATCAACCAATGATACTCATCGATTTCCGAGAGGCTATGCAATGGCACTCAGTGCTTAAATTCGATTTGCGAGCAAAGATGGAGGCAATATCCCAAGCTACGACAGCAGGTTACTTTATGTGGACTCCAAAGCATGAACTGACCTTTAACCTGAAAAGCGTTATTTTGTGAAAAACGAAGCGGAAGCGCAAGCCGTAGGTTGCAAGTTCGCGTCTACCTCAACTTCAAATCATGTGCCAAATCGACCAGATCCAGAGGGGTAGAGGTGCACTTTCACTTGTGGGAGTTGTTCACCACGCCGTTTAAACAATGCCGGTGCTGGTTTAGCCCGATTCGGATCTGGGAAGCTGCAACGGTCGTGAATGACACAAATTGGGCAAAATGCAACATTGCCTAGAGCCTTTGGCCTTTTCAGTGAATCATGTGCGAGAGTGCAATAGCAGAAGAACACGATCCTAATGGGTTCTGCAAAATCACGTTTTCAGGGCGTAGATCATTCCAACTGAGGTCTTTTCAGAACTGATGACCCATTTTTGCCCCAATTTCTTTAAGTTTTGAGCTCTACCATCCGTGAAACCTCAAAGATATGGCGTTCTAATCGCTTGTTAGACCTCTGAGAGTCTCATGATCGCTCAGAACAAACAAACGCTGCAAACCGAGAACACAAAAGAAGGCGATTGTGGACTGACGGTTCAATCTACCTTGTTTGATTAGGCCAAAAAAATAGAAAAGAATACAAGAAGTAGAAAATTGAGGTGAGGGTGTCAAATGCATTCGGGTGAGTGGGGTATGGGTGATATCAGGCATGAAGCAATAAATACACTGGTAAATGCAGTCATACTGGCATTCTCTGATAGAATCGGTGCCATGCTGACCGTGCCGTTCCATGGCGATCATGGAGGCGGCTCTACACCAGTTCAATGATAACGTCTCCCACTGCAACCGTCTCGCCCTGTTTGAAGTTGACCGCTTTCACCTGAAAATAATGTTAAGAGGCGAATGATCACGCTAGGGGCCGACATACGCGGATCGAATAGAAAACTTACAATGCCCGAGCGACTAGCGACCATCGAGTTCTGCATTTTCATGGCCTCAAGAACACACATCTCTTGACCCTCATTGACCAAATCGCCTGGTTTCACTGAGACCGAAGTGATCAAGCCAGGCACAGGCGCCGTCAGCACTGAGCTGTGGTCCACTGCCTTCTTTGGCAGAATAAAGGCGGCTTCCAAGGAGGCTGCTTTTTCACTACGTATTTTCAGGTGGAAGACGGATCCAAGGTACTGGAGGGACACGTTACCGGTGGTGTCGCGCGAAAGCAACTGAAGAACGGTACTCTCACCATTAAAATCCTGCTGGATCAAATGATCGGCAAGCGTAAAATTATCCTCAACGAGGATAACAACAGGTTTTGATATCGATTGTCCGTTGGCTTCAGCAACCTCCTCTCCCTCCTTAATTCCAGCGATTTTCCTGGGCACTTCCCACTGACTGACGGTAACTTCGAAGAATTTTTTCCTGGTGTGGGCCTCATGTTTGATGACAATAGAAGCTTTGACAGGAGGAAAATCGGGAGGATTCACGACGAGGTTAAAAGGACCTTGCTCGAACCTACTAACAAGACAAAAAAAACGAAAATCAAATGCACACTAAGCGGGACATTACTTGCCTGGACTAAATTTAACACAACTAACCCCGTGTCCCCAGGGACAAGAGTACGATTGCGAAGTGCAGCCTTCACGCTGACTGAAGCACCAACAGCAACAAGTCTGGAGACCTCCTGCTTCGAGAGCATGTTTCTCCGGAAACCCTCAGGGTAGGTCTCGGATAGGTAACTAGTTGTCATTGAACCAGAAATGAAACGCTTCTCAGTGAGGATATTTCTAAGAAGGGGGATGTTGCTGGTCACGCCTCGGATGACAAAGCTATCAAGAGCCCTAATCATTGTGTCAAGGGCCTCCTGACGATTGTCGCCAAAAGTGATAAGTTTGCAAATCATAGAATCGTAAAAAGACGAAATTTCCGAACCCTCCATGGTGCCCGAATCACAACGTACTCCGTCGATGTGAAGGGGCTCAATGCACGAGGTGAGACGCCCAGATGACGGCTGACCGAACGCTATGTAGGGATCTTCTGCATAGACTCGACACTCGATACCCCAGCCATCAATAGGGACGTCCTCCTACAAATAACAATGGTAGCATTGACAAACACAATCAAGGGTGCAATAAATTTTAAGGCGGCTAACAGACCTGTTTGTACAGGAGTTTGTGACCTTTTCCAATGCGGATCATTTGGTGAACAATGTCAATACCAGTGATACACTCTGTGACAGCGTGTTCCACCTGCAGACGGGTATTCATTTCAATGAAGTAAAAATTGCGCTTCTCATCAACTAGAAACTCGACCGTACCCACAGAGTCGTAGCCGACAGCTCGAGCAAGGTTAACGGCCTGCTCGCACATGGCGCGACGAGTATTTGAGTCAAGGAACACGCTTGGAGCCTCCTCGATGATTTTTTGGTTACGACGCTGGATAGAGCACTCACGTTCATTTAGATGAATGGCGTTGCCGTATTTGTCACAGAGGACCTGAATTTCAATGTGACGCGACTTGTCCATGAACCTTTCAAGGAGCATCCGGTTATCACCGAAGTTGGCTATAGCCTCCCGACGTGAAAGTTGATAGCCTTCAATTATACCTTTTTCGTCCCACGCAATGCGCATGCCCTTGCCGCCGCCGCCAGCGGAGGCCTTCATCATGATAGGAAAGCCTAAAAAACATTATTCAACATCCATTCGCAAAACAAAGCCTAGTTTAATGCAACAAAGCATACCGATGGTGTTGGCTATCCTAACAGCTTCACCAAGATCATTGACTACACCATCGTAGCCGGGAATACAGTTGACCCCAGCTTTGGTTGCGATACGTTTACTTGCAATCTTGTCACCCATTGTTCTAATGACCCTTGAATTGGGGCCCAAGAAAGCAATTCCATTATCTTCTAGTTTCTTGGCGAATACTGAGTTTTCCGACAGAAAACCATAGCCAGGATGCACAGCCTGGGCACCAGTAATCTTGACAGCGTTTATAATGGCATCCATGCTAAGGTAAGACATGGCCACAGGGGCAGGTCCCAAACAGACAGCCTCGTCAGCCATATGGACGAACCGGGATCCGGCATCAGCCACACTGTAGACAGCAACAGTCTTGATGCCCAATCGCCTACAAGTGGCAATGACACGGCAGGCGACGTCCCCTCGGTTAGCAATAAGGATTTTTTCGAATCTCTATGATAAAAAATATGTTGATGAGTAGTAGGGAACTTAGAGTTTCAATAGGTATAAGGTCTTGCAAAAATCGAAACTTACTGATTCACCAGTTACAAATTTATCATTAAAGTAGAATTCCTTTGCAGTTCGAAGAGAAAAAAAGGCAAGTAAATGGCTGCATACTGATTCGTGCCTGCAAAAACTCTGCACAACCCAGTTTCGTTGGATTTGTTGTCTCACTTTTTGAACTGAAAGCATTATGGCGTTTCTATGACACAGTTCGAACCACAAAATCACACTGATCCACAGGCCTTAGAACTAGCAACCTACGTTGACGAAAGGCAACACCGGTCAAAATCAGCTCGCGCATGGCTTGGATTTGGCGGGTTTCTTCAGCTCAAGGTTACAAATTTAGCCAAATATAAAAAAGGTAGGAGACTTTGCTGTAACAACGTTTTCTAACATAAAAAAATTCATTACAGTTAATGAGCATTGCTAATCATCTTTTCACATACCTCAGTTGTATTCAAATTCTGGTTATGGCACTCAAGATACTTAAAACGCCACGCAGTTCTTAGTACTCCTGGAAACCTATTTCCCAACTTTTACCTTCGTTGACCTTCCATACCTATTCATGTGTGGATATAGCTCAATGATGAAAAACCATGGCATCTCTTAAGTGACAACTGCCTACATTCGTATCTTATATCCAAATCTTAAAAACATCCTATAAGTTTAACGTTTTCAGTCGTATCGGGCATTCGTATGTATATATATATATATACTCAACATATTCTTAGGTCCAAGCTCTGTTTCAAAAAACTGCAGATATTTGTTGAATTGACACTTTAATCAGTCAAGTCCTGGAATTCTATTCTTCCATTCGCAATTTAGGCTACTGTAAATAAAAAAGTTCATAAAAAATTTGGATTCGCTTCACAACTAATATTTTTTTCAGAACTTCGATCTCTACAATTCTTTTTCAGGTAAAAAATGAGCAGGAGTGTTCGTATTTTCCAAAATTCGTGACAGTGCAAATAAGTGACAAATATTTGGATGTTAAAGATGTTAAATGTTCTCTGTGGCAATTATAAACGAAAATTTACTATTGTATATTACTGGAGTTATTCTAGGGGGTTAAATTCCGCAGGTCATCAATTGAGCTGTCCAGAAATTGAGTTTATTTTAATTTTTGTCAAATTTTTTACTCAAATTTAAGTAATTTCAAGGTTACCCGATGACCTACATGGTCTGATTATATTGTAGTAACAGCTCGTTTGCATAAATAGCTAACCAGTGCGGTAATACGCACTATGTTTACTGCAAATATGTCGTTTCAATCCATTTCCTCTACTCCAGTCAACGAAACCAAATTATCTACAATACTCTATTTTTGACCGATATTCTTAACCTAAATTATTCATTTATGAAACTGCTGCAGTAATAGCATTTTTTAACAACTGGATGAATTAACAATTTATGTTGTTGTACTATGTTAAATTACATGCACTATCCAGGTGTCAAACTTCTTACCAATCAGAAATCACCGGGTCATTTAGCGCGTGTTATAGATTAGTGTGAGATTTTTGCTTTTAATAATTTTGTAATCTTGAAGGCTACAAAGTGTTGTTGCTACTTTATATCTGACTTTTTAAAGTTCGTTTGGTAGCAAGTGTGAAGTCCATTTGTTGTTTGACTCTTTTTCGTTGCTTTTTTATTGAAGCTCTTCAATTTATATTCACTTTTGTGGATTCACTTTTTTTGTTCTTTAATTTCCTCAAAGTGCAATTCTTTTTCTTTTTAGATGCCACTTTTAGATGATGACCGAGTGCATTTGTTTATCATTCTCATCCTGATTCCTATGCAATTCATCTTTTGGCAATATATAAATATGTCAAAAATTGAATCAGAACCGCTCTTTGCGCCCAGTTTTATTTCACGATCCAATTTAATGAGAATTATTTATAAAATTAAAGATTTTTCGGTGATGGTCTACCGGCAAACAATTTCTGCCATAACATCAATTGAGGCAAGTTATTTAAATTATAACTGATTTTTTTAAAATCTAGTTCTCGTTTTATTCTTAACCCTTTTAATCCATGGTTTGTACATTTTCTCGTTACCTGGAATTAAAAGTAGGTAGCTTTCATCATTTAGCTTTGAATGAGACATAACCACAGTCTTTGGACTTTAGTTTTTACCGTTTTCTAGTACTATAATTCAACCACTGCTATCTCTGCTCGAAAACCTTAATATTGTCAATGTCAAAACTTACGATTTTTTTACTTCCACGCATGTTTGTAAATTGCGTTTTAATTCAAGATCAAGTAGATTCCTTTTAATGATTGCATTTGGCAACACAATTGTGTATCTTGAAAATCTGAAGACGCACGCTTAATTGCATTCTCTGGCAATAATACAAAGTCGATTCCAGTGGAATTAGTAGGAAGTGTAAAAATCACGCCTTTTTTCTGGTGGTAGGTCAGCTCAAGTCATAGGCCACATTTTTCGATACCTTGAAGGAACCAAAAACATTGTGTCAGCGTCGATTGCTTCTGATTGACACCTGGAACCCTCACTCAGTGATTTTCGCTTAACCTGGTGAATAATGATCGAATTACGTAATTGTCTCCCAAAAATATCTCAATTGTTTTTTTACAGGTTTCTGGTTTACAAGTTGGTGTCTCATCTATACTACCTCATATTTTATTTAGTCAATATCATTACAACTAAACTGAAACTATCGTCGTTTGGGCTCGCTTTAATTGCTTTCACATTGCTCCTCTCCCTTTATACATTATTTTATTGCTTAGCAACTCAGCATCGTGAAGTTTAATGTTCCTGTTTTTATTAGTTTAAATGCGCTTAAACCAAATGACACATCACCTTCAACAAGAGTATTGTAATAAGATGGTGCGGCGAAGATTCCTTTTCGTTGCCTTCTAGATCAAAAGTATCTTCAAAGTATCGTCGTCTGATACATCCAATAAAGTACCGCCAGCACCTCCGAAGATAATTGAACTTCATGAACGCAACTTCGTCTTTTTGGGGGCCAACCAGCGCGTTCGAAAAAAGCGCCCTACAGGGCTTCGTTTCTCTGTCGGCCAGGTAGTACGCCATCTTCGTCTTGGCTTCAAAGCCGTTGTGATTGGTTGGGATGAATCGGCTTGTGCTCCAGCCACGTGGATGGCTCTTCACTATCCTAAGCTTGAAAGGGAATTAGTAAGTACCAAACCACTTGCATTCACCTGTACCCTTACGTAGTCCGTTGCCGTCTCTTGGAGCTCGTTGTGATCGATTTTCCCTTATCTTTCCTTAGGAGGTCAGAGGGCAACCGAATTACCGTCTCCTGGCCGACATGAGGGACACGTTGAACTACCTTGGACCTCTTTATGTACCTCAGGATGAGCTGGTGGTGCTCTCAAAGGAGGACTTTAAAGCCGCCGGCATCAGTGCCTTCTCCAATGAGCCCATTGTAAAGCACCCTGCTATCACTGAGTTTTTTGACTTCTACGATGGCAAAAGCTTCACACCTCGGCCCTGGCTGCGGCGCATCTATCCCCAAGGATGAATGTCACGTGTTTTCTTCTTTGGTCACTTTTATTTATACTGAAGTGCCTTAAATGACTGCTAAGGAAATATAGCCTGCGCAATTTTCTAGCATGACTTCTCCTCCGTGGCTGTTTCATGGTTTGGGCAGTATTTTTTGGCGGCTACCAATGACACGTCGTCGAGTTTAATGAATTCTGTCAAATAAATACGCTTTACAAGTGATCAATCACCTGTAGGTATCTCTATGGTCATATGTGTTGACCAGATTGAGGAATTTTTGACTCTCAGGGGTTGTGAAGTCATGGAAATCTACGCCCTGTGAGCATTCATCTCGTATTTATTTGGATTTCGTAATTGCTGAAATTGTTTCAGTGTTTTCGACCTTGTTAAACACCCACATTCCTGAGGGCAAATGGGAAGCAGGTTTGATGGCGTCACGAATTTCACTTCACACACGCCTGTAAATAGCATCGTGTGCAGGCGATTTGCATGACTCTGCGCACATTTTGGTGATATCTACGTAGTCAAGCATCGGAATCTGGATTTTTCACCACTGCAATCACCCACGCATATTCAAAGTTGCCCAGTGGATGAGAATGGCCCTAAGATTTATCGTGCAGTATTTTTGCAAGGTTGAATATTGACGATTTACTCTGAAAGCGGGTCCTGCGACCCAAGTTAATTCGTTGTGGCTGCGGCTGGACTTGTGGACGCATAGTGTCAGGCAGGAGTAAGCGTAAACGGCAGTAAACGTGGTGAGAGAAACGAGGTACCTGACCTTTTACCAGTTAGGTCAGCAGGCAAGTGTGATGAACGTTAAAATGTGCAGGAGTGCTGTCGTGGTGGAACCAATTCTACTTTTTATAATTAAGTAGAAATACAGATTCAGTAATTTATATCAGCCATTCCATTCTTTCTAGGCCTGGCGTGGAATTTTCGTGACCAGCCGAAATTCAGTAAGAAACGCCAGACGCTAAATATTAAACTTAATCGACAGCGCGCGACCAAACATTTAGCTATTGCATTAAAAGTATGCGCTTAAGGCTGATTTGTTGGGTTTAGAAGAAGGAAATAAATCAATAAAATCGATAGGGGGCGCCGGTTAGACGCATTGGGGTGAGGCTGCCATTATGCAATCGAAAATTTTATGACTTACCGCCTGTAATTTATTATTTACTCGGGTTTTTGCAGGCAACTTTATGAAATTGCTGACAAATTTAAACTGTAAACCAAGAAATGTGCCAAGTATTGCAGAGATGCCAGAGATGTAATCTGATCGTGCATGACATCCTGGGAAACCACTTTCTGAAATTCAACTCATAAAATTATTTTTCATTGTCAATCCTGTTGGATCAGGTGATTGCAGAAGCTTTTTTCTAAGTTGAATGAAAAATATGATGGATTAAGCAGTGCTGTACTATCCATCATTTTTCAATTATTATCTCCCGACATTTTACTAGTTTTGAATCCCTGCTTTTGTAGGAATTGTGTGGTTTCGTTTCAAAGCAATTTGTAAGCCATTTCTTCATGGAATAAAATTTGTCGCGATTCAAATTATTTTGCGGAATGCAACAGGTGAAATTTTGGCACGATAAGTACTGGAAGATTTCCGGTTTTAGCTCTCCGGGCTTCTGCAGTGTCCGCTGAGTAAAATGTGGTCGTGTGATGCCTTTTCAAGAAACCAAATTTAGTCGTTTTGCTTGGATTTCAATGCTGGATTGGACGGTTTGCTCCGAGTACTACTCCGTCAGTTATTGATTGACCACGTGGAAGGAACACGGGACAATTTATCCATCGGCAATCCACCCACCAATCACATAGGAGCAATTTCATTGGATGCGGCTGTTTTGACCTTGATGTAGGCTATATTTTTTAAACTCTATGCTGACAAACACCAACTGTTTTGCATCTTCACTTACGACCTGATCCATAATAAGTTCACTTTGCTTGATTTAGCCTGTTCTAACATGTCAAAACGTGCGGAATCTATGCCTCAACATCGAGTTAGGAAGTGCTTCCAAGTTGTTTAATTTGGCTAAATATAGTCGAATTGTCAGAATTATATCTCACTGCGATCTCTTCAGTCATAATGAGATGATTATTGTTGACTAAATCACGGGTAATGTCATTATCAATGTCGGAAGGTCGTTCGTATCGACGTACATCGTGCAGATTAAAATGGCCATTTGCGAAATCAACTAGATTGCATTTTACCTGTTCTAAGAGCAGGAATGCACTGTCTTTCCTTTAAACTTGTGCAACATAACACAAAGAAAGTGTAACCTTTTGCTTTCCATTTCGACTTATGACGACGCACACAAGCAGCCTTTAATGCAAATTTTCTACGATGCATTTAGCCAACTGGTAGTTAATCAATATCGCATGTTTCTGCCTTGTACGGGAATTCGATGCGATCTTTTTCAATCACTTTCCACTCATTTTTAGTTTTGCGACTTCGCCTGAGCAAAACAGCACTTATATTTACAGCACCCTTAGAAGGCTGATTTTTTAATGCCACATTCAGAAATGTGAGCCAAAACTTACCTTTGGTCTGAAAAAATCCGAAAATATCGTCCAATTTAATGTTGTGGCAAAGGCAAAAAAGCTAACGAGATCACCTTGGTTGAGTTCCATCCGCAATGTCCTTCCGTATTGCTCCTGACCCTTTCTTTCTTTCTTGAGACGGAACGATTCTTCCTTTGACTCACATTCTAAGACGCTCATTAGCGCCTTGTATTCTTGCGTGACTGATGTGGTCTGTACCCATCTGCCAAACTTCACCCCAGTACTGCAGAAACTAGCGTCGTCTTTTGCAGCGTAGAGTTGTAGTTCTTCAAGGTCATCCTATTTAGTAGCTTTGTCACGTCTGAGTCACCGATGGTAGCAGTTCCGTTCGCATTACCTTACAGTCCACGAGTTAACAGCCCTTAAAAACCCTAGGAGAGAAGAGAGGCGACAGCAGACTCGAGCGTTTATTAACGCCAAGCCAGCCAGGTGTCTTCGTGTGCTGAGTGACAGGCGCTTGATAGCAGTGACCAATGAAATGGCAGCGAGTCGTTAATACCGTGAGGTCAGTTGTAGCGTACCCGAGTCCTTGTATGATGAAGACTGGTACAACAGACAAGGTTTTATTGACCAACCACAAGCCAGAACCATACATTGGGGGGGGGGGCATCCATCCTAGTCCCCCCACGCTGGCCATACATGTCTGTCTCTGGCTGGCCGTATATCTCCCTCACTGAGGCCGGCGTCGTCTGAGCCCTTATTCGTTGCTACAAAGGCCTTACTCACGCGCGATCGCGGACAGTCCACTACATTTCAAAAGAGGGTCTCACAAATATTTCAGGTTTTAAAACTATTTGTGTGCAATGGCCTTTGATCAGGCATTTTTCTAGTAGCAGATTTCATCAAAATGACAACAGGCTCAAGGGTTGCCAGGCCTTGAATGCATGGTCAATAGTCAATTGCATTAGGAATTGCGTCGCAGAATTCCTAATAAAAATTGGATGGTGTGTACGTTTTGGCTTTTAGTAGGATGGGTTCGAAAGAAAGTGGCCGGTCTTGGGGACACCAGCATTTCCCAAGAAAAGTAAATTAACTCAGTGATTTATGACGTCGATTCACTCAGGTCTGTTCACCCAATTACAACTCAACACTTAAGCCACGCCGCTAATTACGCCAGCAACGCATTACCTGGTGATCACTGGGGTGATTTGATGAACACACCTGTCATACTCCACGAGTGCAAAATAGGGTTTAAAGGGGGAATTCGGATTTTTTGTGTGTCTGGCGTTGATTTGGGAGAAGCCTGTTTGGCAACTCAACCGAGTCCTTGTTGAAGCGACATATGCTGACGCCATTAGTTGACTTGGAGACTGCGGTACCGAGTCGGCAGGTGGGGATCAGAGCATTGCGTTTATATCCAGGACCGCAGTGGTCCTAAATTTAATCCACTCCGGAGTTTACCTGACGCGTGGTCACTCTGCATGAGACTCGTGTCTTGAGGTGGGAATTTAGGTTCCTGCAGCAAATTTGGTCTGTATCTGTGAATGCTTCTGATTGGACCGTGTCGTTTAGGAACTAGTGGGAGTAAACGAAAAATAGGGCAGGGGTGTTGGGGCTGGGGATGTATTACCATGCACAGTGTCACTGGTTAGTGTGGTGGCAGCGTGAACTACCGAGTCCACAGTTATGCGTCTGAGGTACTCGACTACGTGGTCAGAAGCTATGGGATTTAACAACTAGCACAGTTCTACAGTGGTTTCATGACAAGCATGCAAACGGGCACACGTGGGCTCATGAGTGTAGTTTGAGAGTGTTAGCACCACCTTACAGTCCTCTGGTTAACAGGTCTTAAAAACCCTAGGAGAGGAGAGAGGCGACAGCGGATACGACCGTTTATTAACATCGAGCCAGCCAAGTGTCTTTGTGTGCTGAGTGAGCGGGTGACTGGCGTACGGTAGTAGTAGCCAATGAAATAGCTATGAGGAGTAATTGACACTGTGGGGTCAGTAGACAGGCTCCATCCACACGCGATCGCTGACACTCCATTACATGTGAATGTGCTCTTGTCTGCAAGACGAGCGAAACCAATCAAAATCACGCAGTCCGTGAATTGTGCGGATGAAAGCATGTTGCACTCATCAATGACCTGCCATGCCAACACTTCAAATGATTTGAATTTGTACTCAGAGAACTCAAAAAAACTGCAGAAGTTGATAAGAGTCTCTTTTTAATTGCACAAAGCGGCTGCCTCGGTAGATTTTCAAGTTACCACTGTTCGTCTAAGGAAAACGGATGACGGGCACCTTGAACCACGCAATTAAGTTGTAATTGCGCACATGTCACTGTTGCATGATGGAAGTCTTCCCTAAGATCGCTACATCGCATCGTGGATTTGAATGTCTGGTTTTTGTCCTGGATACAGCTAACGGGTCTTTTGATATTTAAAATTAGCAACTATCAATTTGTCACTGACAGGACTACTTTGACCAGATCGACATCAATGCCTATCTTCCT